ACGACGCTCTTCCGATCTCCCCAAAACCCCAAAACCCCATGAATACTTTATAGTGATAGTGGATTTAATGTAGCAAAATCTTATTAATGAAACATCAATATTATATATCTTATTTAAAAGCTTTAATAGCATTTGAGAGTATATTATTCTTTAATCTCATTATCTTTGATACTTTAGCTCATAATCAGAATTGTTATAAGCTATATTAAGATTGGCCAATTAAGGTTATTCTTGATTCATCTAATATTTTATACCTAAAAGTGATCTCGAATTGGGTGATTCCCTATCTAAATTATTTGTCGACAATGGAATAGAGCAGATTCTTTATTCTTAAAAGTTGCTTTAGTGCTCGCTCTAAATTATGTTTGTCTGATAGATACTTTTGTGATCTAATTGATATGCATTTGAGAGCTGTTAATTTTCACTCACTTGCTAAGGATCAAAGTCATCTTAATAATGAGCAGGAGGAAAAAGTGGTTTACCATGCATAACCATTGATAGAGCTATGTTTTAATCAGTCGAGTATTTTATGAATCCTGTCTAATTAATTTCTGGTTAACCTAATATAATTGGATCAATGTCTCCCACTTCCTAACCTGTTGTAGGATTATTAATCAAAGCAACTTATGTCATTATATCTTAATCAGGAGGACTGATAATTCCTCTTTAATTGGCCAATTCCAACTGTGAATTAAATTTCATATATTTAGGAGTTTTCTTCATACATAGTAGTCTATCCTTATGACACTTGCATTTTATTACAACAACTCCCCTCTTATATGTATGCTTCTAGCATTAAATAAACCAGCAAATTGAGATACTTAATAGGAAAAAACTAAAAATAGTCCCGATTACAACTCCAAGAACTAAAAAAACATCATCTAATCCAACATTTTCATCATTCTTATTTTCTTATTCTTATTTCTATAAATTTCTGCCATTTTTATATTAGTGAAATTAGCTCCGAATTCATATATTTTCATCATTACTCAAAAGTGTTTTTATCCCAATATGCTATTTAGCAAGCATCTAAATACTATTAAGACTTTTCTCTTTAGATTTAGCACTAAATTAATCTCTAATAAGCAGTCTATTATTTGATTCATTTTAACTTGAAACAATTGAAAAGAAGGACAAAATTATCAAGAGCTTAATAAAAAGCAATTAAAAGCTAAAGAGCTACATATTTAATCTTATCTTAAGCTAATCTAAAAGTATAATGTATTAGTTATATTTTACAATTACCAATTTGAAAACATATCTTTATCAACGGGGTTTTGGGGTTTTGGGGTTTTGGGG